CCAGATTTCAAAATTTTCCGGGGGGTGTACCCCCGGACCCCCCTACATGGTCTCGCGTCTTCGACGTTCGCTTCGCCCCCCCCCCTAAAAAAAGAAGGTCTGGCTACACCACTATTTCATGCCATTCACTGATTTAGAATATATCACCATTTCGCATTTAGAATATCACCCACGTGTGCCATAGCTGCTGGAGTTGTATTTGGGGTCCCAGCTGCCGCAACAGCAGTTGGCTTTGGCCCGGCTGGTATTGGAGCAGGCACACTTGCAGCCAAAATGATGTCATGGACGGCAATTTTCAGTGGAGGTGGTGTTTCATCTTGGAGTCTTGTGGCCTTTCTTCAATCTCTTGGTGCGGGTGGACTGGCTTCTTTTGCAATGACACCAGCAGGGCAGGCCTTGATAGCAGCTGGTTGTCTAATTCCATGAGTAATACTCGAAGAGTGAATGAAACTGATGAGATGTGTTGTACTGTACTGTACTTTTTACAAGTAATTGTTAAACGTACGTTCTAAGCCTAAGGAGTAAGGTGCATGTTCAGAGGCATTAGTGTAAATTTAGAACTTTTTGTGTTTAAAATCGAGTAACTCTGATACAAGATTGTTGTTACAGGATGACAAATTTTTACAAGTTGCAATTGCTGACAATGTCCTCAGTCAATGATATAAGTTAGTTCGGTAATGCCGTTCTAATGTATATCTACTAATCTAGTTGTTCCAGTATAACCTATGATATTATGGTATATAATATAATATAATATAATATAATATAATATAATATAATATAATATAATATAATGAGCCGTTTACCTTTTTTTAAAAACTTTTACTTGCTCATGCCAGGAATTGCGTTTAATAATGAGCCGTTTACCTTTTTTTAAAAACTTTTACTTGCTCATGCCAGGAATTGCGTTTAATAATGCAACAGTAACAGTCATGCGTACATTTTCGTGCGGTATTTCGAGAAAGTGAAACACAGCGTATTGGATTTGTATATCAGCGGAATTAAGACAAAGAATATAAAGTAAGACAGATAAGCTCGAACTTACAAGAAGAAACATGAAAGCTTTCTCTAGCAAGAGTTTTGTACTTGTTGTTAGCGTTTGTCTTATTCTGAATGGTAACGTCGTTTCCGCAGTAAGTGTTTTTAAAATTATAGATCATATTGGCAACAAGTTTTACCTGTACGGCTGTATAGAAATTAAAAGTACCTCATTGTGTCGGCGAAATCGCTTGCAGTTTCTTGCAGTTTGCATAGGAATCTCTGCATAGGAATCATGAAACATTTAAGACTGCACGATGAATAAGAATACCGACAGTTGGATATTGCCTAGGCCCTAGAACTCATGTAGTAGGCAACATATTCAAGAATTCAACTTCCGGACGAAGTCAAATTCCTGAAGTAGGGCCTTCGCTCGAAACGTAGTTGTATAATATTCAGGTAGTTGCATCCCTATCAATCCGAAACATTGTTATTGGTACTACCTACACTGACATGGCAGACCGTTCATCAACTTCATCATTATATTCACTATCACGTACAACTCTATACTATAGAAAATACTTGCATGGGCGATCGAATTTACAGAAAGGTTATATTTTCAGGAAAGGTCGATATATTTTCAGGTATAGTTGTATTTTTAAACATATACTTCTTGAATATATACATTACCTTGTCCTTGAGTGCCGTGGTTTTGTATTTGAACTACCGGAAAAAATGAAAACACTTCGACTGACAATCTGAGGAGTAGTCATGCATATATAGCCTAAGCCTTATAGGCTTCGCGTTTATCAAACAACATACTACTGTAAACTACTGTACTGATTTGCCGACCATGCAACTGACGCGGGAATCGATCGAAAAGTGTAAGTGACCCACATTTGAGTAGATATTTATACTGTATAGTTTACAATACAGACGATAGAACTGATGAGTTTTTTGTATTTTAAATTGTAGGAAGAGAACGAAGGGTAAGTGACTAAAATTTTCAGAGCATAAAATGTTAACAACAGTTAGCAGGTTCGTTGCAGGTGCGTCGAAACATGCATGAGTGCAGCCGGTGTGAGGAACTTTTTATAATAAGTGTGGACAAGATAGTAGCTAGTCACATTTATACATCTAATGTCGATTTTAATTTCTTCAATTCACATGCAAATAGCTCGTTTTATACTACATTTTATACATTAATTTGCACAAGGTTATTTTGTATTTAGATTTTAGTGGCGGTCTAGCTAGATTTTTTTATTTTAATTTATATAAATGAATGAAGTGTTTCTCAAGTCTGCCGCGTAGGCTATACTTTCTCTTGGTAAATTAAATTATTGGTAGTATAGTCAGATTATAATTATTATATACAATAATATATACAATAATATATAAAATAAGCAAACTTCTTTCATGCATTTTAGATGGTCACCATGGACAGTAGGTACAGCTATAGTTGGTGGTGGTGTTGCAGGTGTTGGTGCAGTTGTAGCGGCGCCTGTTGTCTTGGGAGCAGCTGGTTTTACTGGGGCTGGCATAGCAGCAGGTTCAGTTGCATCATCCATGATGTCTGCATCTGCAATTGCTAATGGAGGTGGAGTTGTCGCTGGTGGTATTGTAGCAACTCTTCAGTCTGTTGGTGCAGCAGGATTGGGCTGGGCAGGGTCTGCTGCAGTAGGAACTGCTGGAGCTGCTGTCGGAGCTGCAGCTGCTGGCAATGCAATGGACGATGATGACTAAACATTGAAACTGATGATTTTAGTTATTTTCAATAGAAAATGAAATCATTCAAAGTTTTACAGTAAAATGTTTTTTAATGTTTGTGTTTCGAAAGTTGTATATGTTGCTTATTTTCTTGAAGTTCTCCTAATATCGAACATTAATTTGTAACCGTTGTGATTTTTTACTAGTGCGGTTTATTTTTTGTGTAGTAGATTAGAGTTGGAAAAGACTTATTGCATAAACAAACAATATATGAAAATGAAGTAAGGACTAAAGCCTGCAGCACACGAGAGCTATCTGCTGAGCAAAAAGTTACTCGTGCCTGTTAGCTCAGCTGATAGCTCACCGATCAAACATGTTTGATACGTGAGAAAAGGTTGCATGAGGCAAAAAACTCAGTAAAATGTACGCGCACACGGTGAGCTATCGGCTGAGCTAACAGGCACGAGTAATTTTTTGCTCAGCAGATAGCTCTCGTGTGCGGCAGGCTTAAGGTAGTCGGTAGAGCTCAGGCTGCAAGAAAAGATGAAGGGTTTTTAGAAGAAAGTTTTGTGCTTCTAGATCTCATCTGTGTTTCTCTTATGCTGGATTGGAATGTTGTGCAAGTCAATATATTTGATAGATTTGATAAATTCATAGTTTAATACGCAGGCTATACTCTGTCATCTTATCAGTTCTACCATTGAGATCGAAACCAAGACATTTTGAATATATGGATGTTAATCAGTGGGATTTTGTATCAGTTATTTGTCATCATATCCTTGTGTTTGTGACCATATGACATGAGTAACAACCAGGTATAAATGAAAACGCGGGGGCCGTGGAACCGGGGGGGGGGCAATGGGGGCACATGCCCCTCACATTTTTTTAAAGTGGAAAAAGTGCCCTTTTTCTGGGCTAAAGTGCCCATTTAAAGAACGAAAAAAGTATTTCTTGACTAATGCCCTCTTTTGCTGGGAAGAAAGTTCCCTTTTCGTAGTAGTAAAGACTCGTTAATGCCATTTCCAACGTTATAGAGACACCGTATTTTCGAAAATTTTCGTTCGGCTCGTGAACGATATAAAATCGTTTGATTTTGGTCATATACAAAAGTGCCCC